ATCGTATTCCTTTTGTTTTAGGAACTCTTCGACAAGCTTAGGAGCTTTAGAACAATCATTGTAATTAGTTTTTTACTTGAGGGGATTTGTTTGTTGTGTGTTGCTAGGAACAGATTGTTTGCTTGTGTACTATGAGTATTGTTGCATGATTGCTTGCGGTTACTACTATTTTATACATATTTCTATTGTTATATTATGTTGGATATTAAGTGTTCTAGATGTACTGTGCTGGACTCTAATTGTTTAAAATTTGTTTGACTATGCTCTGTTATGACTCACTGTGAAGCTGTTGTTAAGAATTATTATGTTGGGATAACATATTGGCATTATTAACTTACTGTTGGTGTGTTGGATGTATTTCTGGATTATTGATAGTCATATTAGTGTAATGTCGTGTTCATAAAAGCATACTGAGTTATTGTGAGAATTGATATGATGTGAAAGCATGATTGGCATATTGTTTCGTTGTTAGAATGTTGTTCGTGTTGTGGAAACATGCTGAATTGTATTTGTGAGCTGAATGATGCATGGGTCATGGCTTAGAAAGCAAGTAGTAGGACTAGGGTGGGAGTTTGGTTATGTTATGAAGTGAATGGGTGAGTATTAGGGCTAGAGGGTTGATACATCACCATTTGGGTATCGAGGCTCCAGGTACAAAGGTCGGGTTATCGATACGCCAACTTTGGACAAAGATGAGTGTCGAAGCTTTAGGTACAAAGGTCGAGGGTCGATGCGATGAGTCTTAGAGGAAGACAAGTATTGGAGCCTTGAGAGGAAAGGACAATGATCGAAATGTTGCAAAGTCATCAATGCCTTAGCTATTCATGGTTAAGGGTCGGTGCAATAGTTTGAGGCCTTGGGTACAATGGTCAAGGAATCAAATGCCAAGGGCCATAGAGAAGTGTCGAGGCCCTAGGTGCAAAGGTCATGGGTCGATATGACTCGAAGGGATAAGTCTTGGAGTATGAGGAAAAAGAACTAATGAGTTTAGAGAAGTGCCGATGCCTTGGCTATACGTGGTCAGGGGTCGGTGAAACAGTTCGAGGCCTTGGGTACAAAGGTCAAGGATCGAACGTGAATTGCAGTAGGGAAGTGTCGAGGTCCTGGATACAAAGGTCAAGGGTCGATACAATTCGGAGGAGTAGGCCATTGAGAAACAGGAACACAAACTAGTGCTTTGAGGTGCAAGCATGGGTTTGGCATGTAGGTTACACGTTTAGATATGTTTATGTTTTTTTTATGTAAATGAGAATTTGTTATGCATGTCGTTTGAGCTCTCTTTGATAAGCATGTTGTTTGTGTGTGACCCTTCAGGTAAAGGCTACTTACTAGGTACCGTGGTTGTACTCATCCCTTCTTACTCTCCCCAGATTTTTTGTAGGTAACGAGGTCACTCACGGGAATGGTAATGGTAAGAAGGAGGCTTGACCAGAAAGGATGTTTAACTGCGTAACTTAGTGTTGTTTCTAGTTATTGTTTTGAAATAAGATAGTTGCAGTTGGCAATTGGTAGCACTTGCAGTTATTTCATCTTGTAGTTGAGTTGTTAGTAGTTGTTTCTGTTTAGTTTTCTATTTTAAAGGATGTTTTAAGGTTGTAAGATCATTACTCTTTGAGGTCATTAGTTTTCTTTAGCTTTTCGAATTGTGGGGTTGTAATCTAGTGAGATTAACTATTTACATTTGGACATGTTGAAATTAAATTAGCTTTTGCTTCGTTGCCATTCGAGATTTTAATTTTTGTTTAGTGGACGGTATGGTTAGTAAAGGTTTCTTTGAGGAGTTTGGATAAGGTGAAGTTGGTATTAAATTGATTATTTGTAAAGGATTTAAGTTTTGGTTAAATATTTAGTGTGGTGGTTTGTTCGTTTAAACTCTCGTGAGTGTCAATCAGATGTAGCGCAATGAAAGCATGGTGAGATTTTGTCACAGTTTTTATTGTTAGTGGTTTAATTCTCTAGTACAAGTGTGAAGGTTTAGGTGGTTTTAGTAACGGACTCGTTTGGGAGGTTGAAAATTCTGGAGTGTTACACCAGGGGTGACAGCTCGAGATGCGTTTGAGTGGGCTTGAGGGTTCAATAACATAGAGTATAAGAGCATGGTCATGGGCTAATACCGTAACATTGGTCTCGGACACCCGTCGACCCATATTCATAGGAAGAGGTGGATCCACGTCATGCACAATAAATGAAAGAGAGCCACCCGAAATACCTGTATCAAGGAGAATGTGCCTCTTGTTCACGAGCGAACGTGCCTCCGGAAAAGCTGTAGCCTTCTGAGGGAGTCCATTCGCCACCAGAGCAGGCAGCTACCATCCCATGTCATCATCATCGCCGGGAGAGGGTGCCGGCAGCGACCGAGGAGACCCAGTCAGGTGCTTGGTCATAGTCTCTAGCACACTCACCGCCTATCGTCTGTCAGCAGGTCCACCCCGTAACCAATCACCGTACGGATACTATCCTGACCCAGTCACTAAAGGAACAGGAGCTACACATTCACGGAGTGAATGCCCCACCAAACCACAATGGTAACAAAAAGCTGCACTTCTCTTCCCTTTGCAAGCTTAAGCTTAATACCCCGACGAAAAGGCTTCGTGATATCAATGTGTACCCGAACTTGCACAAAAGCCCCAATCCATGTACCCAAACTCCCACAATCAACGTCCTCGACGACTCCCAAAAATCCGCCCAACTCATCGCCATCTCCTTCGTCAGACAAGAAAAAGGGACATTTCGAATCTGGACATAGAAGGACGTTTCCGAAAAAATCAGGTCTAAAAACTGATCATCAACGCGAGGAGACACAAGAACAAGAAACCCCTTATCAAAAGACCAAGGACCAACATTAAAAACTCGAATTTTCTCCGCCTAAGTATGGAACTGAATATGGAAAAGTCGATTCCCCACCGAATCAATGTGTGTCCCCTTATGGACTCCCCAAACCGACTTCATAACAGCCTTAAAAGCTTCAACATTCACAGTGCCATTGGATAACCATTTGCCCACTGCATAACGGCCAACATTCTCCGCTGTTAGTAAAGGACACCCGTCAGACACACACACACAGACACATCCTCATCCCCGGTTATCGCTAGGTCCTTCGTGTTGGGTTTTATGTCCTAAAACTCATAGTTTGAAAATGACAGATATTCTTTTATCATTCAATAAAGTTGTTATTGAAGGTTTTAATCAATAAGTAGTTATTGATCCAATAAAATGTTCTTACYAKATCTAAATCCAATAAAATAAAGGATCCTAGACTGTTACCTGAGACTCAAACTCTATGTAAGAGACATAAATATGGATCAAGTTTGAGTTAACAGTCTAAATGGTCTATAGTATAGGAATAAGGTTGGGCGCCTTATTCTGGGGACACTATGGATGCGGCCCACTTTGTAGCTAGTACAAACGATGTGATCCTAATTCGTTCATGTGAAGACATGCGAGTGGGGGTGTCCCGTGCAAAGAGTTTGCATAAGACTGGACCATGAGATAGTCACTTTTATTTTATAACACCGTTTACTGTTTGAAACTGACTATCTCAACTTTGATAGCCTAGGTAACTCGATCTTAATCCTGAGCTAACTATGAACTTCTGTTTACTCGGGATTATCCTTAGATCTGCATGGGTGAGAGCAACTCAACAGCGCTGGCTCAATAAGCCTCCCATTTCAGGGGTAAGACCCGGTAGATAGCTAGGGACATAAGGTGCAAGAAGGAATTCACTTCTACCCAATTTTGGGATAGTAGAGAGGTTGTTCTCTTAAGGGCTGAATCCAGGTCTTTAACAATTGGCGCCACCCTCATCAAAAGGTTTGAGAAGATTTTTTGATTTGATAGTTGGACTACAAATCATTGTTCATCAGAGGATTAGTGGGACTTAAGGAACAAGA